GGGGGGAATGAAAGAGGAGCAGCTACTATTACTTTCAAGTAGAAAGTAAATGTGTAGAAAATAATGATGGCAACAAATATGCTTTATACAGTTGATGTATGGATTGTTATAAGGGCCCCCAATAAAATGATCTTTAAAAAATACTGTACTTAATAGAAAATTGCTCTCACAAATCCAGAGTTAGGGCACCTTCAAGATACCTATTTAATTTCATATATGTAATTATTTCACCTTTAAAATAAGGGTTGCCATTATTATCTTAGTGTTTCATTAAAATTTTGAGCTATTTCAACATTAGCAGTATGACTAAGATTTTTAATTTTTGTTTTCATTTATAGTGGATCAAAATATTTAAACATGCCATTGCTGGATGTATTATTTCACTTCTGTGGTTTTTTGGCCTTACCCTTTGTGGACCACTAAGGTAAATAAAATGCTTATTTTAAATTTTCATTTTGAATGTTTATTTTATGTCAGATATTTGTGCAGATGTTTCATCGCTCACATAACATTGAATACAGTTCACCAGACGTGTATATGTTTGCGAGAGAACTTGGTTAATTTATGGATTTCTTCTTCAGTGAAAACCCTCAATGCATCGTTCATGAGCTGTCACTGATAGTGTGTTAGTCGAGTCCTAAGAGTTTCAGAGACTTTAGTGGGAGTGGCCTTTATTGTTCTTTGATGGTCTGTTTCGTAGCTGATTTATAAGAGGGAAAGTATCCGAGATGATGACAGCCCGTAAGGAGGACACGATCTGGAAAAGTGCGCATCTGTTGAGCAGTTCCGTACTCTTGACAGAAAATGTTTCGAAGCTATTTCTCTGTGTCTGAAGTGTTTGACTTACTGAGTAAGAGTGTAAGTTAAAATCTGTTGGCAGTCACTAGAGTAGCTTCAGGAAGCCCTGTATTGGGTCTCCTTGGCGGGGTTGCTCTGTCCTTTGTCAGCTGGGGAGCAGCATATGCATAATCCCAAGGGCTACCTCCCTTCCCTGATAGGGAGCATTGTGGAGGGTGGGGTAAACTCGGCCCCTCCGTGTCGGAGTCGGGAGGAAAGGGGGTACAGTAATTCCGAAATTTTAATTGAGTCCTTATTTCCTCACTAGGCCAGTGTTCATAATCCCTCCTCCCTAGCAGCGCCTCTGCGGCCGCTGTCCTCAGTCATCTTCCACAGCCATCCTGCAGCTTCTTAAGGAAAAGATTCCCGCTGTCCCTCAGTCATCTTCCACAGCCATCCTGCAGCTTCTTAAGGAAAAGACTCCTCTGGTGCTTCATAGTTGGATTTATATTAGTTTTATACATAACATCCTTATATTTAATTTCTTAAACTACAATCTTCCAAACATTCGTAGAACTAAAATGATTGCTGATGTGCCCTCATTACAGATTTTCTTGTCAAAATGTGTACAGCTCAATATTTGCCAACAGCAGTTTGTTGGGGTTTGTTTTCAGGGTCGCCGTGTAGTTATAACAAAGGTAGTGAGAACAGTTACATTAGTCGTGTGCAAGGAGTTGACAAGTAGCTATTCATAGTTGCCAAATTTCCCACAACTATAAACAAATATTCTCTAAATAGAAACTCCCCCGTTTTCCCCTCCTCTCCACTGCTGGTAACCACTAATAAACTCTTGTTCTCTGTACACTTACCTGTTCTTCTTATTTCATATAAATGAGGTCATAACAATGTTAGTGCTTTTGTGATTGACTGTTTCTTGGAGCATCACTTCTTCTGATTCATCCATGTGGTGGCATCATCAGGGCTGTGTTTCTGTGTGGCTTGGTAGTATTCCTGTGTGCATAGGATGCTTGTCCATTCACCAGCTGATGGACACTCAGTTGTTTCCGCCTTTCGGCTCTTGCAAAGAGTGCTGCAGTGAACATTGGTGTGCAAGTGCTTTGTCGTCTCCTGGGAGCAGCGACTGGGGCATAGGACATTCTGTTCACTTTCTGAGGAATTGCCAAACTGTTTTCCACAATGGCCTGTACCATTTTTTATTTTACAGTTATTTTACTAATGAAGAAAAAAATGTTATTTAATGAGCACTTGAGAATGAGATTTGTGAGCCTCCCGTTGACTGGTGATAATTTTGTTATTGTGAAGTGTGTGGCGAAACATAGAATTTACCATTGTAACTCTTTTTCAGTAGACAAGTTGGTGGCATTGATTACATTCACAGTGTTACACCTGCATCACCACCACAATTTACTTCCCAAACTTTGGTCATCTCAGCCATGAATGAATTACTCACAATTTTCCCTCTTCCTGAGGCCCTGTTGTTGTTGAGTTATGATGCTGACACATAATTATTCCACATGACAGAGTAGAACTGCCTCCACAGAGTTTTGTGAACTCTCGTCTTTTTTTTTGTTTTGTTTTGTTTTTTAATCATTTTATTAGGGGCTCATACAATTCTTAATCATAATCCATACATACATCAATTGTGTAAAGTGCATTTGTACATTCATTGCCCTCA